TAGTCTGATACACCGCGTAAAATGCCTGCCTCTCTTATGCTAAGCAGCTAAGGAGCACCTTGGCTCGGTAAAGCTGAAAATAATCCCTGGGATACTCTTTTGCCTTATGAATCACCAGCACTTCAAATCAACATGCATGTCAGTTTGGATTTATTCTGAGATGCCTTCTCTGTGTGGAGCACAGCAAGTTAAGGGACAACCACCATGCACCATGTTAAAGGTTGTGGGAAAGGATGCAAGCTAAAATAGGACACAAGAGGCTGCAAATCATTTAAATCAGAAGCAAAACCTCACACGCAACAGCAAGAGGCACAAGTGTCCCTTCCCATTGTGTCAATGCTACCTACTTTGGAAGATTTAAATTTCTATCCCATTTTTTAAAAAAGGTATTTCCACATCATGCAAAGTGAAGCTCTCTCCTTGGGGGAAAATAACTTGTTCCTGTAACAGGAACCCTTTGTGGAAAAGTTGAATTCAATTCAAATTCAAGTGAGCAGGAGCTGAAATAGTATCTGGGAAGGGGAGGGACTGTCGGCAGAGCACCTGCTTTGCAGGTGGAAGCTCCTAGATTCAGGTGGAAGCACAAGGAAAGGATAGATTAGGTAGGGAGTGACTGTAGCTCAGGAGCAACCCTCCAAATAAACTAAATGAAGCTGTTAACTCAGGTGGCAGATACTGGGTGACGAGCAGTGGGCAGTGGTGGCTGCCCCCTTGCCATTTCCACTGCTGGGGGACAGAGTCGCAGGCTCCAGGCTGCCAGTCCTACACCCACTAAGCCAGCCAATGGCCTCAGGAGCAATGGAGGATGCTGCCCCATCACCAGTGTCAAAGGGAGATTCAGCTTCCAGTCCAGCTGGCTTCTGCAGACAGGAAGGGACACCTTGCCTCTTGCTTCAGCCTGCCAAGCCTCCTGGGCTGGCCTTGGCATGCACACGTTTTCCACCAGGAAGGTCCCAGGTTCAGTCTCTGTTGCCTCCAGTTAAAAAGGGACTGGGCAGCTGGTGATCTAAAAGACCTTTGCCTGCAGACCTGGAGAGTGGCTGACAGTACATGTAGTCAATATGGACCCAGAGAACTGCAGTAAGACAGCTTACATTATTATACCTTATGGAAGTAAGCCAAGCCACATGCTTCAGGATACACACACACACACACACACACACACCCCTCCATGCGCTGTACTAATTTGCTGAAGAATAGGAATGCTATGTAAAGGCTCTTGAATAATGCCTCTGAGGAGACAAGAAACTTTATTCTATGCTGCACTGGTATAACGTGTACTCAGGGAGAGGCACCAAGTGCTGTCCAGGAATAACCCATTGTTTCAGCTGTTTGCCTGTAACGCAGAGCAAACACTGACAAAGCCCTTTGAAGAAGGAGAGGAAAGGGAGCAGGGCAAAAGGCCAGGGATGAACTTCTGTCCAAGTCAGAAATAATCCGAAGTGTGCTATCAGCACATGACTTTCACTGAGTTGTGGGAAGTTTGTCATCACAGACTAATGGATGGGTGGGCAGCTAATTTGGGGCTTCATTCAGTGGCATGGCTGTACATACCACTAATGCATTTCTCCACCATTCTTAGTCTAGACAATTACCGCGGAAGACCCTGCTGAATGTACCTCTCTTTCAGGAATAAACTTAGATCACCAGGGCATCATTAAGCTGTTTAATTTTATTAATTATTGAAAAGGTACCAGTGCTTTCATTTATTATGCTTTGTCTTCCAGGCAGTCAATTTTGCTTGCAAAGCATCCATTTTGCTTGGAGCAATATGGCATATAGGCAGAAAACAGTGAAGCAAAACCAATCAGCTTGGTAGGATTGGGATTTTTATTTGGGGATGTGTGTTTTGGGCACCTTATTAACATACCATTCCTAAGGACCCTTGCGGGAAAGACCCACTGATTTCAACATATCTTCCTTCAAAGAGTTAAGACAAAGGGCCATCTCCATGAATGGCAGTCCCATCAGTCAGAGGGATGTATTATTGTGTACCAAATTTAGCTTCTGGGGACACACTGCCTTCCAGTTCTGATTAAGCCATTCTTTTCTTTATTCAAGCTAAAATTTTGGTAAGCAAATATCAGTTCCTTAAGGGCAAAGGTACAAAGATTGTTTAGGAAGAAATCTTTAGATACTGACTGTGTTTCTTTCCCGTTTCCAGAAGCTGTGGGAAATTCCCAAGGGCAAACCGGGAAATGGCTACATGCACTGGCAAGACTTTTAGCTACAATAAACATCCGTCTATATTTCCTAGATTCAGTTCTAATGCTTATGGAAAATATGTGACAACCAGATAGAACTTAACAACAAAAGTTAATTGATCTGTCTACTTTATTGCTGTTTTGTTAGGAACTTGTTTTACATTTATGCATTCATTTAAATTTAGTCTGCAGTAGGGGCTGAATTGCAAATCAAAATTATGATCTTTAGCTTCAGAAAGTCTCCAAAGCAGTTCATAGCTTGAAGTGAAGGAGAAGGAATGAAATAAATAGGAAAGCAAATTTCCTAAGCACAAGTTAAAAGAAGCCGTATCTTTTCTAGCATGATGACAGGTTAAATCATCTCGGTTCAAGATACCCTTTCCAACACTATATATTAGGGCTGCAATCCTCTAGACGATCCTTTAGGACCAACCAGAGTGGACAAGGGAAACTACTGGCACAAAGAAGGGGTTCTCAAAATGTACACAGTTGTGAATTCACAAACGACAAGGGGCCCGTGGTACCTTAAAGACTTGGATAGAATTATGGGGCCAATATGTGTAAGACAAGGAAAACCTAATAAAAGTAAACTAAGATGCTTTTGGAACACTGAACAGGATGTCGTACGAAGCAATCCCTTCTCCATTTTTATGAATATTACTAAATTTAAGGGCGTGTCAGATTTGGTGGTGCTGATGGGGTGCATGTATTGTCTGCAAACTGAAGAGCTAAGATTTTCTTAAGATGGAACAATGACATAATTTTATGTTGCATTCTTAAAATGCAATTATTTAAAGTTGCCTCGCGGCAATTATGCTTCTTATTGTTGCTATTGTTAATATAAGAATCAGTATTCGGGCATTGTGAAAGAGGTTTTCGTATGGCACAATCCTACAGCAGGAAAGATTTTGAACGTCCAGCTGCAAGTGCTTCAGAAGGGGAATGAAGGGAGGCTGAGGCAGCACCAGGATGCCCCCCACTTCCCGATTCCCACTCCCCAGAACCCTTAAAACCTTGAAGAAGCAGCCAGCATGCCTCTTTCTGTGTTGGTTCCATGGGCTGAAGGGGGATCCTACAGCCTCTAGACACTATCTAGGTTGCTCTATTAATTACTTTTTCTTTTCCTTCTTCTATTACATAGGATACGTTTAATAGCTTTAAAAAGATAAGATGAAATAATACATAACCCCGTGCCAATGGAGACACCAGTCCTAAACAAATGCCAGTGCAGCCAATTATGCCACAAACCATTCAGTCTGCATGTGTTAAAACAGATATTTAGATACCACACAGGTTTTCGTCATTCAAGCTACCAACTGAATGCCATTTACACCCACCCATATAGGTGTTTTTATTTTAATTCCAAGCAGGAAGCAGTTTATAAAGTAATAACCAGAAGACAGAGAGATTTAAGTGCCTGATCACTGTGATCTAATGTGCACATTTACAGAAAATTCCCACAACTCCCTCCACGCAGCCATGATGCCGGGGCATGCTGGAAAGTGTAGAACAATTTTGCTAGCCAAGCATGCATAAGACTGCATCCTTAATAATCTTATTTCAAGAAGCTCCTCTTCTTGCAGTTATTCATACATATGTGCATGATCCTGCTACTTGAAAACAAGATACAGGAAGGGTAAAAGGTAGACTGTTTCTTGCAGGAAATGGCATATGTGAGTCAATTTTCTCATTCTCCCTCCAAACAACATGTTTTGAATCATAAATGAAAATGGAAGAAAATGGGGTTTCAATTAACGGAGTCTATATATTGAATTAAAAGATGACCTAAATCTCAGTGGCAAACAACAATTATATTCCTAATTCCAAAATTCTAGGGTCTGCATTCCAGAAATTATTTTTACTATTTTCCAATAATGTTCGCACACAGTAACATGAACTCTTCAGCCCCTAAGTAGCATCACCAACCTCTGGAAGTGCCCTTTTGTAGCTTCACAAAACTACAAGAAAGGAAACAAGGCCATTCCCTTCAGCTCACTTGGCCCAAACACTTTTTGTCACTTTTTTGGGGGTCTCCTTTAAGGGTCTACCATTTTGCAGAGTTTAGCAGAAGGAGAGAGAAAAAGGAGCTTTCTATTGCCAAATCTGACCCAATTCAAACCCATGCTGACTACTCTTACACCCAAGCTGCAGACATTAACTTCGGCCTGTTCTGATCAACATGTACTGTTCATTTATTGTAAGCTACCGAAGTTTTCTGTAAGAAAAGAAAGATGAAGATGGAATACAATAAAACAAATAGAACGTCTTTAAGGCTGTCCTTATGTCAAATGCAGAACTTCAGGTAGGAGGCTGAATCTCCAGATGGCCATGCTCTTTTCCCCATGGGGCAACCCCTTTCCCCTGACCACCCACAATTTGGTGGCTTTAAGTGACAGTATGTTGTTGTTTTGGCTCTGTCCAGTGCGCACCTCCTTAGAAGTTTTCTGAAACACAATCTGACCTTTGGGCTGGAAGAAGTCCAGCACCCCTCTTTTAAGGGCCACACCCGATACTAGAAAGCCTAGCACCTGAATAAAGGCTGTACCCAATTTGACATCAAATTTGGCTGTATAAACACAAAGAATCAGTCCTACTTGTCCATCAAGCCTTCTAAAACCTACACCAAATTGCACAACAAGAACTATATGGAGGAATTCTCATTTCAAACAATCCCTGTGAATTATTCTTGAGCCCCCACAGACAATGATCTCTCATTACTGCCAGTTGTGCTATTATTAGAAGTTTGGAACAAACTGCCGACACACGAGCTTGGAGCAATGAGAAAAGGCTGCTTACCAAATTTTTGGTCAAACCTCCAGGCGGGCACATGAGTATTGTGCTTCAGGTTGCTGGTTGTCGGGAGAGGCACTGTTACATAGATGGGTCCATTCACTGGAACCGGAGTCCCATCGCTTTTGAGTAAGTGAACACTAACTGCAGTGACAGGAGTAAGATCATACCTAGTGTTATTTCCTGTAAGCAAATGAATGACATCATGAAGATGCATAGAAAGGTAACTTTCAGAAGAAATTAACACAGACACTTAACATACAAACATCTCCTGTAATTATTGACAAATACTTTCCTGTTAGCAAACAATGTCTTGACCTGGACAGCGTTTTGGAAATTCAACTTCCATTTACACTAGTCTCTAATTCATTCCACTTCAACCAATTAACCAAAACACATTTAAACTTCTTTGTTTCAAATTGCTCGACTCCTCTCTCGGTTGCTTTGCGTGTCCAAGTGACACAAGAGCGTGTTGGTGGTAAAGAAGGCAAAAGGCAAATGGCAACAGTAACAGGTAATTTGCTTTTTTTGTGGGTCATATTACAGGGGCAACATTTTTTGCTTAGGTGGGTATTTGGCAAGTGAATCCATGTGTGAGTGAGGACTAGAATTCAGATCGCCTGAGGCCCAGTCCTGAGCAACTGACCATTACACCACACCGGCTCTCAGAGGGTGTAGACACTGCAATGTTCAGCTAACACAGTTCCAATTCTAACACAATTCTCCACCATTAGATACAGTAAAACAGCATGTGTTTGTGCCCCCCCCACCCCGCATGTTTCCTTTTCTTTAATCTACTTTGGGGATTGGATCTATACAACTCACTGCCACAATTTTTAATAAAGTTCTTTAATTAGACTTCACCACTAGAAGTTGCTGTCTCAGCCATAAAAGCATTTAACTGCTGGGGTTGTCACCACCACTACAGACAACCCTTCAAACGGAACAACATTTTGGACTACAATGCCCAGCATTGCTGACCACTGCCTATTCTGCCTGGTGCTGATGGGAAAGGAAGTTCAAAACATCCAGAGGACACTAGGCTTGGGAAGACTGCCCCAAAGAATCAAAGTGACTTTAGTTTTGTAAATAGATCTTTAAAAAAGTATTGCATAATTTTCCTTTTCCTCCCAAATGTTAGCTTTTCCCCAGAAAACTACCAAGGAAAAAATTACCAGGATCAACTTTTTTGGAAAACGTACATCTCCATTTAGGATGTTTGCCATGTTAACAACTATAGGAAAGACTTTGAGAATGGGGCATCCTTTCTCACTTGGGGAAAAGAGCCAACAAAAGGCATCTTCTACATAGACATACTATTCTAATACTACTGAAGCACAGCATGCCACAAAATTTAAACACTTTAAAAAATCACAAGGTTAAATGTTTACCAGTTCCATTGCCATCATATCCTTGCAAATAAGGGAAACTATCCACCTCCCAAGGTGAACTAGCTGAAGTAAGAAATGCTGTGAGGTCACTATAGCTGGTATTCTCTGGCAGCTTCAAGGCTCTCCTTTGAAAATGAACTTTGGGCTGAATCCGTGCACCTAGCAATAAGCAAATAAACATGACATTAGCCATCTATGTGGGGCATATTTTCATAAATGCAATTACAACATTTATAACAAACCCTGATGCCTCTATTATAATGCCTCCATCAGGAGGACAAATATTCCTCCCACTGCATTACACTGATGAATTTTGTGGGAGATTCCCAATGTTTGCCTAATTGATGAATTTAATATATTCTAGTGAAAGCAGAAAAACTCAACAACAATTAGCAAGGCAGGAGCTAGCAATAAATTATGCCAAGTCAACTCAGCTACAACAAGCACACTCTTGGACTACCTCATCTCAACTAAGCCACCACCATTCTTCAAAGTAACAAAACACTCTTAATTCCTGCAACTGTTTGGAGGCCTCCCAACTCTTTTTAATAGTAAACCTTGGTCCTATTAACTTTCAATATTATTCAAACTTCCATTATTTTATTTAATCTATTGTTGCAAATGACAAATTAGCACTTCTTTTACTAAAGTTGAAATAAGACTTTATTTTGTTTAGCCATTATATGAATCAGTACATGTAAACTTTACATAGAAGTAGATTGTACATATAAAAGTGATGGAGCAGAGCACTGAAAAACCTCCTTCCCTCTTGCTGCTTCTCTGGGTCTGTGCCCACCTCCTTGAACTATACCACTCCAAGAAGCCATTAAGGATGCAAGGCAAGCCATGCTGGATCAGATCAAGGTTGGTCAAACAGCAGCCGACAAGCCACCCATGGGAAATCCATCGGCAGGACCTTAGGACAATGTCATCCACTCTCCCATGTCCCATAGCAACTGGTGTATGCAGGCACACAGCCTCTGATATTGGAGGAAGCATCAGGGTTAGTAGCCACTGATAACGAACTTTATTCAATTCCCTTTTAAAGCCATTGGTTCCTGCAAGGTCATTCCAGGCCTCCTTGCCATGGACATTGCCTACCCTGCCTGCCCATTGCCTGGGGCTTTCTAATCTCCTAGTGGGGCTGAGCAGCTGAAGGAAATGTCAGCCAAGGGGAGTCACTGCCTCATTCACCTGGGGCATCTCTCAGCTTGGAGGCAGACCTAGGAAGGATTGAGTCCATGGAACAAAAATAATCCAGCCCAAGCTTCTGAAGGGCCCTCGTTACTGAGTCAGCCATGGCATCAAAATGCTGCTGCTTTCCTCAGTCAACAAAGACTGCAGCTCCGGAAAGCCAGGATTTATCTGCTCAATTTGCCACTGAACTGAGCAGTAATCCCAGTGCACAAGCCAAAGCGTACTATCCAAACCCTTTGACATCACTGGGTTCCTGCTAGCATGCAAGAGTCTTCATTGGATCAGGGGCCAAGGGAGCAGCTGTTACTCTAAACTTCTCCAAGAGCTAGAGCAAGTTGACTTATTTCAGCTGTGTGGATTTCAAGCAATCATACCATCATACCTTACACAAGGGCCAAATCTGAAAGCCCCTCTAAGGACAGGCAACCTGAAAAGCAGCTTTTCCAACTTGGTATCTTCTGGATGTGTTAGACCATATGGGGCAGGAAGGCTAGAAGGTGATGGGATTTGTGGTAGATCGCATCCAGAAGGCACTAGGTTTGGGGAGCATATTCTAGTGACTAAGACGTTCATTGAACTCTCAACCAACTCTGAACTTTCGTTTGACGCCACTGAATGGAATCAGTATGGTTTTGAGTCTTGGCAGGATTAGAGTTCACTTCATGCAGTATTTATAGTTTTAGGTTCCATTAGGAGTCTGCTTATGAAGCCAAAAACACTTCTCCACAAATTCATACCATTAACAAAGCTTTACAACAAACACAGCAAGGCCCCATCTGCAAACTTTTGCATAAGATACAAATAAAGATTTAAAACAGCTGTTACTGTATTCCCAAGAGCTCTCTTTTTCTATAGATGGAGCGTGCTTTCATAAAAAAGCATTTCAATGAAGAACCAAGATTAACTCCGTATTTGTAATGATGTCCATCTATACTGCCCGGGGCTGTTAATTCAATAAACAGTCTTAAGCCTTTGTAACTATTAATAGGCCAACTAAGATATACCACTTTAAAATAACATTACCTGGTAAGAAATCATAATTTATCATCTACTCATAAGGCCAGATCTACTTCTACTAGTTTTTTGTCACCAGCATTGGACTTATGAGTTCCACCCAAAGTGAATTCTCAAAATTGGAACCTCTGTTATCTATGAACAAGAGGCTAATTCATATACATACCTTGTAAGAGATCCTTTTCATGTCGTGTAAAGGTAGATACATGCTGTACCATGCTTTTACCAGGAACATTAAATATGTGACATGAAGGATGAGCATAGCCCAGTTAAAATTATTCTTCCCTTCCAAAAATGAGGAACAGTTGCATGAATGCGAGTTATCTACATATTGCCCTGTCTGGGTAGAAGTACTGTCCCTTCCTCCAGCATATTAATAAGATCTTTGACAAGAAGAGAGCCTGAACTGGACTAGCACAGCATAAAATATGTTCACTTAGAAAGCAGACATTCATCAAATTCACAAATCCTTCCTTCTTTGTTAAATTTATATCTAGTCTCTTCACCAAATCATGTTTAAGGCAGCTAACCACAACAAAACACAAAGTGAAAACAATTAAAAGGCAGGTGAACTACATGAATAACCCTGATTTAAAAAAAAAACCTGTTGAACAAACTGCTACATATTTACAATTGCCACAACAAATCACTATTCAGGTCAAAGTCTTTATCTGCCAGCAGAAGATAATCTGAATGGGGCAGGATGGGTCTGAAATGAGGTAACTCAGGGCTCCCAACTGTACACACAAGGAAGAATGGGCAAGAAAACCTCCACAGAAGTGTGTCAGGCCTCATGGGAAGGACTGCAACTTTTAACTACATTTTTTAAAAAATGTCACTGGTTAAGAAGCATCCCAGCCAAGGTCTTTGACCTCCCAGCTCCAAAACTCTTCTAAGTGGCAATATAGCGGATTGAACATTAGGGATGAATATGTCCTGACAATGAGCTAAGATTTCTTTCCATTTTAACCATTATCTTAGAGCCAAATATTTGAAGGCATATTTGAAGGCTCCAACCAATATGCCTTCAAAGTTAAGTCATTTTGGCACAGTACATAGCAATATACAACCTCAAAAATGAATGACGATTTTCTGCAGGGTGGCTCTTTTGGTCAAACCATAAAACCTTCCACAAACGTCAGTTAAAAAACCTGAATCAAGCTAACACTTTTGATTTAAAACAAATGACAACAACATATTGAAATAATTATCGCAGTCTTCTGAACCAAAATGCTAGCACAAACAGTTGATAGCAGCTAAACCAACACATTTGTTAAACAGGAAGGAATCCCTTTTTAGCCTGTTTCCAGTCTTAAATTGAAAGCAGTAATTTTACAAGCTACATGCATTCAGCTTTGAGCAACTCAGGAGTCTGCATATTTCTCCCACTGTTTTACAACTGATACCTGCAGTACCTCAGGGGCAGCATTGTTTAAACAATCAGAAATAAATTTCTCTGTTGCTCTGCATATGAGTATCCACAACAAAAACTAAAACAGACAAAGTGCAAAAGAATTAAGATTGTCTCAGGCAATTTATTGCCACTGTACTTCTACAAGTACTACTACTGATACCATTAAAATTCTCCACTGCTGATAGACAATTGGTATTGTGATACAGAAATACAGTTTTGGCTTGCTTGATACAGGATGCATTATCCTAAGGTGGCGGCAGTGGCGGCAGGCTAAATCCGCTCTACAAACATAAACCAATTTAACTCCCCTAGTTTCTTCCCCCAAGGAAATGAAGAAACTCTTGAAGAAGAAATTCTCTTTACCATCACAAAGCTGCCATTCCTGCAGTGAACAACTGCTATTCCAATATGTACAGAGAATCCTACAATGTGGGCTGAAAATTAGCAGAAGCTGCTTTTTCCCCTTCAGGACTGTTTTCTCCCATGCAGATAGAATTAATGAAACTGAAACCCCATGCAATGTAGTTAAATTTCTTGTACTCTAGGCATCCTGCAAAGAGCTCAGGATGGTCTGATTTAATCAGGACAGCTTGCAGGATGTCCTTGCCCAGGGTAGGCAAGTCTTCACTAACGGTAGGCAGAAAGATTCCTGTGCTTGGCCTCTGCTGCCTCCCAGCACTTCACCCTCTGTCCATCACAGGCCATGCCACCTGCCCCGGCATTCGTGGATCACAGCTGCATGGGTCTTGGTCCACGACTGCTCTGGATTGCCTCATTGCCCCTTATGCAGCTGGGCCTCAACACGTACACGGTGCCTTTTGCTATTCTCCCAGCAGCACGACGCGGTATGTTAGGCTGAAGGCACAGGGACCGGCCTAAAGACGTCCAGGCTGAGCAGAAATTTCTGACTTCTGACTTCAGCAATATATACTATACCGCACGGCACTGACTTTCAAATAATTCATTAAATCCATTTTGGATACAAATTTATTTTGCATATATTCTGTTTTGAATATTTATTTTGTTTTTGTTAGCCTTGAAAAGAAAAGGGGAGTTGAAGGAACCACAGACCCCTGCACCAAATCACAAGAAATCCCACTCAGTAACCTTTTGGACTAAGTATTTCTTCTTTTCTTTCCAGCCTATTTTAAGAACCACAGCAGTGATTTATAAAAATTCCCAGGGTGCTGGATTCTGCCTTCTACTATAGCTCACATTTGTTGTTGTTGTATCTCTTCCTTGTTTGGTTTTAGTGAGAATTCTTATTGACTCATTTCAGTGCATTTGTTATTAATGTGAGGTGTTTTGTTTATTCTATGGGTAGGACTATTTATTTTTGCTATAATTTCTAGCTGTTCTGCTCATGGCATGCCTACCATGTGCATAGCCATGTCTCCATCAACACACTGATCCACTGGCCTTGCTTTAAGGATGGTGCCTGAGCTGTGGAAAGGTTGAAAAACACTGTTCTAGAAGTTTGGGGCTACAACTCCCAACATTCCTGCCAGCCCTGGTGGTTGGATCTGATAGGAATTAAAGGCCAAAACATCTGGACAGTGCCAGGCTGGGGAAGGCTCCTTTAACATGTCCCAAGGTTCCTTCTTTGTATTACTCAACTGTTAACAATGTTTGTTTTATTAAAATAAAAATCTGCAACTATTGTTTACATCTATGTTCTTGTGCAACAGTAAATTTGTTCATTTACTCCCATTAACCCCTATGTAGCTGATTCAATTGGTTCACTGCCAAAGAAGTTTCAAGTCATCAAGATCTCAGTTACTGAGAGCCAAAATGCCTCTGAGAATATTATATAACAGTATCTGAATTTGCTCATTTCCCTCTTCCCACTCTGTTCCTTTTTCCTTTTATATCATATCTATTTGGTGATAAGCCACTATTTTAAACTGTAAATTGCTCTTAGTGAAATGCCAGAGAGAAGGTATGTAAATATAATAAATCAAGATTTTCGAATGCTCCTTTAAGCACTTCAAGTGATTTCTAAAAAATCAAACTCTTTCTCTAGTTCCAGTTTCAGTTGAGCGATTTCACAACAGAAAGTTTAGAGACTATTTGGTCTCTACATTTCAACTGCCCATTTTCCAGGGCTGGGTCAAAGGACAAGATGGCAACCACCCACCCACGTTCCACATAGGGCAGCCTACTGAACCAGCAGTTGAATCTTACCTCAGACCAACAATATATCTGTGTCCTCTACCACACCTGAAGGAAACAGAGTAGTTTAGATGCGGTACAGCCCACTGTGTAGCACACAGCTCTGTCTCCCAAGACCTCACCGCTAGTCCCTGTCCCTCATCATCTGCTGACTGAGGAAGCTGCCTCTTTCTACCTAATGGTAGGCTGGCCCTGTGAAATTTGAGGGAAGACATAGGATCATCAGAAGGGGCAACAGAGGGCATCTAGTCCAACTCACTGCTCAGTGCAGGATTCCAGTGACCACAGCATTCCTGGCAGATGGCCATCCAACCTCTGCTTAAATATCTCCACAGCAAAGGAGAAGCCACCACAACCGAAGGCAGTCTGTTCCAATGCTGAACAGCTCTTGCTCTTATGGTTGGCCTAAACCTACTTTACTGCAGTCGCCACCTATTAGCTCATGTTCTGCCCTCTGGAACAAGAAAGAATAAGTCTTCTCCATTTTCTGTGTGACAGCCCTTCTGAGATGTCAAGATGGCTATATGTCTCCACTTAGCAGCTTAGGAACATACAATCCTTTGAACTGCTCCTTATAAGGTTTGGCTTCCAGACCCCTCACCATCCTGGTTGCCCTCCTCTGGATGCCCTCTAGTTTGTCAGTGTTCTTCTTGACAATGCCCAGAACCAGACAGAGCACTACCTAAGATGCTCCATGCTTTCTCATGAGCTGGATGCTGTGATTTGCATCCTGACACACAATCCATTGTCTAGAGTGTCCCCTTAGCAACACTATGCTCATGAGATACTCCTGCTGGTAGATACTTCTTAGCTATTGCCCACTGCATTCCCTTACAGCCTCTGGAGGAGAAGTTTGAGGGTCTCTTGAAGTCTTTGCTGGATTGGAGCCCTTTCCACAAATAGAAGGAGCTCTTCTGCGGTGGAAGAGAACTCAGGATGAAACCTAATATGCATGTTACTGCAGCCCAACATTGCATTAGTCTTTCTTGCAGCTGCATCAGTTATAATTTAGACAGTACGAACAAATATCAAAATAATACATAAGTGATGTGATTCAATACATATAAGTACTGAACAATCATTGCAGTTTATTTAAACAAAATTCATCTAGCAAAATTCATCTTTTGGTGCAGTGGCCCAAGTACTGGTTTGGTGTGGGAAGACTCTACCAAGTGAATTGTTCAGTAATTCAGTAATCCATATCAAATGCAGACAAAATTTGCATTGTTTTCTTAAAGCTCAGTCCAAATAATGCTTTAGGACAGGCAAAAACTGACACGGCAATCTAAAGAACATCACTTTGCATTCAAATAGCTACATACCTTGAAATCCTGAGACTATCTGTACAACATCTTCATACACCATTAGAGTAGCTGAACGTTCAGGGAGAAGGCCAAGGCTCAGAGAAGAAAACACTGTAGAAGGAAAATTGGTTAAGCAGGAGATATGCCAGTCCTGAAGAAAAGAAAAAACTCACTTCTCTACCATCTCCATTGTTCAATGTTCACTAACAATCATCATCATCACCCCCTGCCTTTTTTTCCCTTTCAGAAGGAACCCAAGTGGGCTTACGTGGTTTTCCTTTTCTACATTTAACCTAACAAGAATCTTATGAGGTAGGTTAGTCCGAGAGTCAGCAACCAGGCCAATGTCACCCAGTGGACTTCATGGCTGAATGAAGACTAGAATCTGGGTCTCTGAGTCTCAGTCTAATATGCCAGCCGCTACCCTGGCTGTTACAGACTCTTTTAAGAGAATGGATACATGTTCTGAATGACTGTATGTACCAAATGAATTATTTTGCATAGATTTCATCAGCTTTTATGTGATGAAGTTTGGACCTAGATGTGTACAAGTGTAAGATCAACTTAAAACAGAAAGAATGTTGTGTTTCAGATGATAAGGAGAAGCCCCTGTCTACCACATCTGATTTTCTTCTTGACTTACAAAGCAATAGACTCTCCTTGTCCCAAACAAAATTCAAGTGTTCAAGAGTTTCTATATTTTTTATAACAGAGAGCTGGTACCAAATTTGAGCCTCACCAGCTTTTCTTTGCCAAGGGCAGAATTGCCAAGGTTTTCCTGCTTGGAGAACACCAGAACTGCCAAGCCAGGAACTATTACAGCAGCAAGGTTTGTTCCCTGGCACATGCAAAGAGAGAGAAAGGGCAGAAGTGCGTTCCCTAAATAAAGCTTGCTGTTGTCTGAGTTTGGAAAAGTGCCTGCCACCCTCTGGAATAACCGTCAGTAGCCTGTTCCAGTTGAAACCCACCAAAACCCCTTATATGTGATAGATCTGGTTTGTCTACATCTCTAAAGAATAGCTGAAAAATGTCATGCATATATAATGTTCAACATGAAGGGCAGCCAGTACAGAAGATAAAACCTGGGAACTGATTACACAGTTTGGACCTATGCATGTTGAATTTTACATGTATATGCCTTCTTGAAATAGTGCACGCTTGCATGAGTGTCCAGTTGCCATACAAGCAGGACAAAAGTGCTTTCGGTTCCCCACGCTATGTGCTTATATTCCAACTACATCTGTGTACAGAGAAACTATTCCAAAGCATTTATTTTAAATAACGACCACAGAAACTCAAATTCAAGTAACACAGCACAGCTTTTCTAAGAACTAGAAAAGGCATCTTCCGAATTTCTTTCATGTGTATCCCAAATACAGTAAATAAAAATCAAAAAGGAAGAGTTGAACTTTCCAGAAATTCTTTGTTTTTCTCCAGTAAAACTGAAGGAGTTGGGCATTGACACCATGAAATAACAAGATTTTCTTTCTTTTGTTTCTTCATTCATATATATGAGGTTCCACCCCTCAAAAATGCCTAACACTGTCAACAAAGGTGGGAAATCAGCACAGCAAATATGTCAATAGTGTTCATTCAAACTATGGAAGGGCAACCTGCGTGCTTCTGATGTTGTAGACTGCAAGTCTTATAAGTGCCAGCCAGGCACTAATCAAGAATTATGCAAATCCTTGATTTAAACAATAAAGGCACAAAGACTTGTCCTAGTATAACTATAACATATTTGAATTTCTAGAATGCTCTGCTAAGCATTAATGAATCCACCATATAAATCAAAATCTTCTCAAATTACAGATGTCCCATCATATTAATTTCCGTCCTCATATAAAATCTGCTACTAAAAGCACTTATCAGGCACATGATGTACTACGAGCAGGATGAACGATCAAGGAGGTATTACAGAGGACAGAATAAAAATAATCCTTTTCTGCCCATAATTTTATTTCTACGGAAGAAAACCAATGCCATTCTAAGAGATGAACAAATGTTCCCCATCAATCACTGAAACAAAACAACACAGATAACCCATGAGTGTGCCTGATTTTTTTCTGAATAATAAATGGACCCTGTTTTCAGGTTCTCAGGGTTTTTTTTTTTAAACGTGATATATAATAATTAAAAATCACATTTGTGGTTGTTCACATAAAGACATTTCAGAAATAACAACACGATACATTGACTTTAATGTGACTTATTTCTAAGTAGACACGTTGGATTGCACTGTCAGTTCCTTAAAAACAGAAGCAAAAATAACAGCATTTAAAAAATACAAAATAATTTTAATGAAACTACTCTTATCAAAATAACTTCAACAAGCAATGAACAAAGTACTACATACAGACTACAAGCTTATAAACATGGCACAGTTATTTATATTCACTGTTAAGTTTTAAGGCTATAGTTGCATACACCCTTACCTGGGTATTTGCCACACTGAACTCAATGGGACTAACCTCTGAGTGGGCATTTAGGGCTTGGCAGCATTATACTTTAATGCCCTGTGGTATATTGTTTGACAGCCTTCCCCAATCTGGGTAGGTTCTACACTAAAGCACCGTTCATGTTTCAGGCATCCTCCTACTGGAATTTCTGCAAAATGGAACCACCGCTGAGATGGCAAATGCTAAAGAATACAGGGCAGCATCCATTGTGTTTACAAAGCAGCTGAGTATCACACCTGAGCAGAATTGTGGAAGACACAGGAGTTTACTTCTTGCTGTTTCTAACTCAGCTAACAAAATGCACACCTTGGATCACGCACAGCAAGAGAGGTTTAAAAATAACGAGCATGGCAACCGTACATTGCACTCTAACAGACAAGTGCAGTCAAAAGTAGATTCCCCAAATAATCATAGAGGAGGAAGAGGATGGGGAGGGAGCTGCCCCGGAGTTACTTCGGAATCCTTCTCCTTCTCCACTCATGTTTTTGGCATGCCGAGTGGCAAGGGACTGCCCTCCCCCCATTGCCCCCTTGCCTTGTTCTGTCCTCATTCACCATCACATGCCATCACCCCTCTCCAGGTCCCCCTGCTGCTCCTTTCAATTTTGGCTCTTTCCTCGGTGACGGCAACAGAGAGAAGCAGACTGTGCAGAAATGACGGACAAGTGGAGAGGTTAGGCTGGGGCAGGGAAAGCTTTAAAGCCAGTCCTTTGTAAGTATAATACCACTAGGTTGGTACAGTTTCTTTGCAATGCAGAGGAACTGCAAGTACCAGAAAAAAAAAAGTAGTTTGGAAAGCAATGGAATGCGGATGGAGAAACAGCATGAGGATGACAGTTTGGAGCGCTCATTACATGGTGTCCGAGTGAGTTGTACATTACAATGCCAGCTAAAACCCTTGCTTAGGTCATTCCCCTGTGCCCTTCAGATGGCTTGGACTTCTGAGGAAATGGATGGAAATGAAGCATGACTGAAAGCCAAACCATGGCTAGAAATGCAGGTGTGTCCATTACATGGCCTCAGCAAGCAAGGCCAGTGGTAAGGAATGCTGGAATTTGTCATCTGAAACATCTGAAGACCACCAAGCTTGAAATTGTTGCTGTATATCATACCATAAATCTTAATATACTCTAAAAACTAACTTAAAAACAGGTTTGTATAGTTCAATATAAAGAATAATTATTATAAAAATCAACAAATGGAAGCCAGTGTATAGTGATCTTTTCATCTTCAACTTTATGCTTGTACACAATGGGTTTAATAAACTCTGATAAGTACAAATACCATGTGGGTGCCTGCAGCCTTTGGGCAACTGGGAAAACTAAGCAGAAACTGGCACTTAGCCATACCTTCACATTATGGGCAAACTGCTATCTGCAGTCTATGGTTTACTGTTCCCAAAGAAGCCAAGATTTTAAGCCAGCTTTAAAGCAGAACTTGAAGTTGGATTATTAATACTGGCTTGCTTGAAAGCACTTAAAGGGAAGCTGGGCACAAGTGCTTCTGGCTTGTTCTGCTACTCATGCAAAAGAAAGAGCAATGTGGTGGAAGAGTACAGATGCATGCCGTTTGTGCACATCCTCACTAAACCAAGTTTGCACATTTACTGTGATATGAAAAATAGATTAGCATGTTAATCAGGTTGTGAGTAATCCCACATTTTATCTATCCATTTTCATAAGGAATGCATAACTTGTGATTTCCAATACTTTGCACATACATTCCTAGCAACAGAGGCCATATAAGATGCCACTTCTAAAGATGTATTTAGATTTAGTTACTACATAACTGACTAAAATTATCTTGACAAGTATCACACTTATATAAAGTGATATCTTAGTAGATATACTTTCCTCTGTTGGTGTTTGTTTAAACTTATACCTATTCTTATGTAGGGGATAAGAGGGTATTTTGTATGAATGAAGACATCCAAGTAATGTTTCTGTGATTGTTAGCTTATCCAGCACAGCACGACTGCTCACATAAATCATGTTATGCCAGTTGAAATGAGCTCGAACACAATACCAATGGAACTTGTTTACATGATGAGGAAAAACCATTATGCCAATAAACACCACCAGTGTGTCATTTACACTAGTCCAACTTAATTTATGTTAGCATTAGCATTATATTTGATGCAGCTGCCATGCAGTGGGCCTGCCGCTGCTGCTGCTGCTCATAGGCAAGAACAGGGAAAGGACAATGCTTCAGTCACTGGCCAAGGCTGAAAGGATAGAGCAGGGAGGGTGAAAACCATGCTGCCCGGGTAACTACATGATCATCTGATGGGCAAGTCTGGGTGCACCATGGAAAGAGTGAAGGGCTGTTTGCTGTGCTGTGTGACCCCAGCCGAGGACTGGCAGTGGCTCTCCAGAGTTTCAGGCAGGAGATCTTCATGCATACCAGGAGATGCCAGGGATCGGAACTGGAACTTTCCGCACGCGAAGCATGTGCTGAGCTGCTCAACAGTGGCTCCTCTGCCCCTCAGCATGGGTAATGGCTGCCATGCTGCTCGTGGTTGGAAGTGCAGGTCCAACTCACATACAGTGTAAAGCTATTTTATATAAGTACCGGGGGCGCTTCTTTACTCATAACTTGTCACAACAGAGGGAATAAGTGACATTTTAAATTTAAGGCCTTGGCAATTATATAAATTCATTTTTGGACAGTTCCTTCACTGAGGCCAGAACCCAGGCAAACAAAGCCCTTGTTTGACCCACAGACCTCCCTCTTTTCTGCTTCATCAACAGAAGCGTTCATATTCATTTTCTCCTGCATGTTTCCAAGTGGAGTAACTTTTATCATTAGCATTTCTTCCCACAGACCACAGCTTTTGGCTAAGCTTAAAAGTCCCTTTTTTTACCTCCATCCAAAGCATGTGCCTAACTGGCAGTATCTGAACCAAAAAAAGTCCAGGATTTTGTTTGCTTTTTTAATGTGGGGGACACACACCAAAGTAAGAATATCTGCAAACTGATGTAACTAAAGTATTTTAAAACGTGTGGCTTGGATTAATTCATTCATTTTAGAATAGCATGAATTTGCCCCATGCTCACTTCTCTTTCTTCTATTCTCTTAATTTGGCCATTTAGCAGAGGAAGTAAGGGCAAAGCAGGGGACAAAATAATGGCTCCCTCTCACTGAACAGGGTGGCAAAATGCCTAATGAACTCAACAGAGAATGCTCAAACAAGCATTTCTTTCAGAAGCATGCACTTATTTCAAGTGCCTTCTCTCTTGAAAATACTTGAATAAGCAACAAGTCCAGTTCAGATTTCAATGACCTGTCAAAATCTCCACAAACCTGGTTCTTTCCTCAAAAAAAATCAATATTAAAAGCAAGACATGCACTCTAAAGAACTCTATACAAAAGAAATATGAGACAATTTTTTACAAGGGGGGAATCTTGTCCCTTCATATACTAATGGCACCCTTGAGTCCTTTCCAGTCCCTCTACCAAAATTTTCATTAGCAGTGGAAGAAACAATATAGCTTTACATACATCAAGGAGAACCATGATAGCGGCATGGGATGGATCTTTGGATGTGGCTTCAAAGGCAACATTTCACCCCCTCGCAACTTGTGTAAGGACAGAATTGTGCACCTAGCATGATCTGTGGCCACATCTATGTACCCATTTGGGAGCCACGGCTCCAGCTGATGCATGGCTTTTGTTTTCAGGCACACCAGATGGGTCATTCTCAGAGTGATCTTTGCATCACAGAAATGAAGGTAGTGCTTCTTTTGCTTTTCTCTGTTTCCCTTCCCCTTCCAAGTTGACATTATTTTTCATTTTTGCATGTTGCATATTAAAATCTAATGTCATTGGGTTAGAACCAGATATATTCACTTAGAGTAGATCCCTTGAGATCTGCTGGATTCAGTTTCCACTGATATCAGAGGGTCCACTCTTAGTTTGGATCCAGCCCATTCTTAAACTACATGATTGTTTCAGTTTGTATTTAAAGGTAAGGGATAACAATGTTTTCAATCCTTCCCTATTTTTGCATTTGCCTAGTTTTTAAATGCTACGTTTCCTCACATTAAATTTTATTTAATCCTGTAAAGTCACTGCAGATTACAAGTGGCACAATACCTCCACTGTCAATAGTGAAATATAAGGAAGGGGGCCTATTTGTTCAGAAAAAATGAAAATGGTGAATTGTACCCTCTTTGTCCAAAATTAGATTTGGAGCCACTCTCCTTACAGGGCACAAACTGGGTGTACATAAAGGTGGAGTGGGGGGTCATATCTGACCCGCTGAAGTTCTCCAGAAGTCATTATCCCCCTCCACGAGCCCCATTCAATTTCTCCTGAATGGGGAAACTCCTGGGTGTTTTCTGCCTACACTTTTCTCCCTGTTCTAAAAGGTTGAGATGCATTTCCTAGTAAGTCACAGTAAATGCTTTAAGCTGAAAATACACTGGCATTTTCGGTGGGTGGGTCCCTGCCCTCTACAGTCTGTAAGAGCTTCCCCCAAGTGGGATTTGAACCCCTGTCAGCCTGAGCACCAACCCCTCTCGTATAATAGAGAAGGGATGCAGCAGTGAGCACGTGGGCCCTGCCCTGGAGCCCCTGTGTGTGTCCCCTCCAGGCGTAAAGCAGGGAGGTATGAAGGCAGATGCTGAACAGGAGAGCAGGACTTGAACCCTCCCTGTGACCAGCAGCCCCACGTCACCAGGGCTGCAGACGGCAGAAAGGATTCTAAGCGCCTTCCCCTGCTAACAGGAAAAGAGGTTGTGTGGGTAGGAAACATTCACTGTTTCCCCACTGCAAACAATGCAGCCCATTAAAAAATGAACTGACAAAGAAAGGAAGGTCATCGTGACTCAGTGAACAGCGTTTCCCCTAAGACAGGAGAACGGAATGGGCTGAAGAGCTTTCAGAAAGATATCAAGATAAGTAAGAAAAAAGACAGGGGTGCGCATCCTCAGCTTGGGGAACAAATCCAGCACCTGGGCTCCCCAGATGGCTCCACCCCATCCCTACCCGCAGCCTTGGTTTCTATCTCCCAACCACTGATCATTGGGTGGCTACCCATATTCAACTGTTTTTCCTGCATTCTGAATGTCTGAAATGCCTCTCCAAAGGCTTGGCTGCTGGCAGTCAGAACCCAAAGGGAAAGATGCTACGGTGTTAGGGCTTGCTTATTTTGCCTTTGGTTCTGCCCTCCACTGGAGTGGATCCCAAGAACTTTTCCATGGCAGTCCAATCCAATCTGAAGCAATCTGGTTGTGGTTCTCTACCCCGGAATACAGTGACACAAAACAGTCCTTAAATGACACTTTTTTAAACCAGGACAAGAAATCTTAGAGCTCCCCACTTTGACGTATAAGACCTTCTCGAGCGGGGGAGCTTGGTTAGAGTCGATCACTGCTAGGGGAACAGCACACTTGCCATGCCTCAAGGGACTGCCTTTATTGCTGTGTCATACAGCTATGACAAAATACTGGTCCTGAGATGAAGCTGGGGAAAACAGGCTCAGCTTAAGGTCTGGACATCTGTATTTTGTTCATGTTATAAAATCATTATAACAAGAAACGCCAAGTCGCTGCCATTGTTGTTTCAATGAACACACATATGCCATTTAGTACCCTCCCCCACCTTTAAAAGTAAAATCTTACCTCAGAACAAAAATAAAGATCTCTTACCAGGCAATCTTATCGGTTTCCAGGGTGCAGAGTTTGGCACATAGGCATGCTTAGTCGCAGTAACGATCAGGTGACTGCCCAGCTTATACTGAAACTTGATGAAGGCAGTGCCATCTGCTCCTGAGGTCCCAGAAGCGATGGGGATCTGGTTCGTAAAAATCTCGATAAAGGCTTCGGTGACAGGCTGATGTGTGCTGGCATCGCTTACGTGGACCTTCAGAGTCACTTCTGCAAGAAAAGCACTGCAGCTTAGCCCCAGGGCAGGACGGAACATTTCATGTTTACAAAAAACACAAAGCCTAGACAGGCCAAAGGCTAGCAGGGGCCCTACCCTGTGGTGGCACTGGATCTGCAGTCAGGATCCTGAGTCTGTCTGGGCTCTTCCTGCTGGAATGAAAGCCCCAGTGGAGTGAAGGCAGTTCCAGACTGAAACACTGGCTAGACGAACACTCAATTATACCCCCTCCCCAAAGGAGCTGTCTTTCTCCAGGGGTTCACGAGAGAGAGAGAGAGAGAGAGAGAGAGAGAGAGAGAGAGAGAGAGAGAGAGAGAGAATTTGCAACACTAAGTATCTTCCTGGCGCAGTGGCAAACACTCCATTCCAGGAGCTCATCCTGACAGCCCCCAGAGATAGGCTAGATCCTATAAAAACTCCCGTTCACCTGTAGCATACTTCCAGACTGCAACCATAATAGCTAAGGACTGAAGACTTTCTAACAGATAAAATGCTGTCATTATAAAGAGATTTTGATAAGTTAGTTTGTTCTGGTGCTTGAATAGCCTCCTCTGATCTGATGCCTTCCAGACATGTTGGCCTGAAACCACCACATGGACACTGGCAATGCTGGCTGGTGATGAAGGGTTTTTTTCGTCTTATACATCTGGAAGGCACTAGGTCAGGGAAAGCTCTTCTAGAAGCTGGTACCGTCTATAGATACGGTTAGATAATAAAGGTGCATTCTCATTTGAAATTCTTGAAGCTTTAAGGAACCATTGTGTAACCAGTATTCTTTGCTATGTTATTTATAACATCAGTCACGATTCAAAATTCACCCCAAGAATGAGTACTTGCTGTGCAGAATTCTCAGCCTCCTACACACACTTCATTCCCTAATAATACCACCATGGCAACAGCATATGATTTTTTAAAAATCAATGCAATAAAAATGCATAAAGCCAACACAACTTGCTATCTGCTATGTTCATGATCTCTGTATATTAGCACTGCTCCAAAAATTAACCTGGACACCTAATCTATACCCCTGGGTACCTCACTAAATCTCAATCAAATATATTTTAAAATCTGGTACTTATAGAATATCTGTTAGGCTTGGCAGCAACAAATGAGTTTACAGAACTCATTTCTGGAAGCATGAAGAACCCAAAACATCAACAAGAAAGTCATTTCAAGATACTGTAAGATGTGCTTGCAAAGGGATGTGAGGGCCTCACATTTTGGACTCACAACTAACAAGTGTAATGTCTGAAGCAAAACTATGGTGAACATGATTGTTAGTTGTGGAACATTGTCTTGAGAAAAATATTTGGGATAAGCTAAGCAGGAAGACACATGTCAGTTTAGACCAGCGGAGTCTAAAGGGCTGTTTTAATATATTCACTTTGTGTCCCCACGATGATTCAAACACCTTCTTTCCCCTCTTTTGAGCATTCTGAAAACTGTTTTAATTAATAAAGAAAACATATGTAATCCCACTTTTCCTACTTGCAATGCTGTGGGGTGGTGGAAACTATGGGACCTGGATTCACAGATTAGTGGGATGGCTAAAGGAAAACAATGCTGAGCTCAGACTAGCATTTGAACGAACCAAGAGCCTCGTTCCCTGATAAAGGTGCTCTGAAACCAGAGAGTTATTAAAAAACTAAGATTTATTTAACAAAGAATGGAAGAGGGCAGAGGATGGAAGTAAACAAACATTCAGATAAATAAACAATTTAGAGCAGGTCTCTAAGGAAACACACACTGGTAGTCCAATAGTTATATGGTCTAAAGATTATTTTTAGGTCATTTTTCTGGCTACATGGTTCATAACTCAACAGTAACAGTGTGTTCCAGTTACTGATAATTTGTTATGTATCCATATATCAGCCACACCCAACTTGATACCCTCCAGATGTTCTGGAGTACAATTCCCATCAGCTTCAATAACTGTAGCCAAATGTCACAGCTGATGAGAGTCATTGTTCAAAACATCTGGAAGGTGCCAATTAGGAAAGGCTGCATACATCTATCTATATAGCAATATATCACTATATAAGATACGTATTCATATATCTAAATATAGCAAGTATGAACGACTTGTAGCCCCCCATGTGCTGCGGCCTCACCATTGGTTATACTCACTAGGACTGACGTGAGGTAGGCCAAAAGACTGGGCAGGCTTCACGTCGCCCACCCTGATAAAAACGATGACACATGAAAGCCAACCTGTGATGTGGGCAATAACATCATGAAGGGCTGAGCCAGGTTCAATTGAGTGGCATGTCTGTCCGTCATTTCATTTGCAAGTCCAGGCTAGTTCAAAGGAATGCACTATAAGCCTTCTTTTATTGGTATGTCTGTCTTCCCCAATGGCTAAACATGTAAAAATACCACTTAGACAGCAGAGTATAATGGCGTGCTTCCCATGGCAGCCCACTAGATGTGCCTTGGAAGCCCACAAGCAGGAACTGGGTGTGAAGGCAACAGTCCTCTCCCATCATGCTTTCCCAGCGCATTGCCTCTGAAGATGGAGTCTCTGCACAGCCACAACAGCTGATAGCTACTGCAAATTACACCAAATTCTTGCTACCCATGACCATGTAGGTTACTGTTTGTGTTCCTCTGCTGATGCTCCTTGTCCCCTTATCTGAAACGAGCTAGTTTGATATGGGGTGGTAACAACTTTTCCAGTGTGGTACCCTCCATATTTGTTGGACCGCAGTCACAGCATTCCTAGCCAGCATGAGCATGGTCATGTCTGGAGGACAGCGAGTTGGAGAAGGATTATGAGATTAAGTGCACACTGCTATGAACACCTGGGTAGAAAAAAAAGTCCTACAACTCCCAGCATTCCCCAGGCATCACAGCTGGGTAAGGAATGTTGGGAATTGTAGACATTTTTGGTCTATGTAGAATTATGCCCTAGAACACTGGAGATTTTAATTCACACACTAAATACGCTTCAGAAATTCCTGTCAAATTGAAATGAGAGATATATATATATGGAAGAAATATGCAAATTAAGGAGGAACTTATTTCTGCTTTGCATTTTACAAGCTATAAAGCAATGTAAAATCTGTAAAGTAATATAAAAATGAGAAACCTAAGTTCTTAGATCTTAAAACTAGATAGGCCATGAGCCATTAGCATTTATTTTCCCTTTGATTTGATGATCCATTTAGAAGAACCAGTGTAGCAAGAAATAATGAGGCATGCAGGAAAAAGAGAGCAAGACAACAATAAAGGGAGGGTGAACATTATGGTTACTTACAAAAGGCTGTTCAGAAGCACAGATTCTTAAATTACACATTATAAACAGAAAGAAGAACCGTGTGAAATAGATCTACCATATTTGGAAGATGCCAGAATATTCCAAAGCCACAAACAACTGATAGAGACAGCTACGCAGATTTCAAATGAAAGGCGCAAACAGAGCTAGAAAATACTGTAGCTTGAACTAAAAGGAAGGGGAAATGATAAGCAAGGGATCTATGTTATAATGGTCTGCTCCTATTCACTCTCCTTTAAAGAAGATAGCATCACTGGCCCAATTAGCTGAAAGGGGCTGTAGTAAGTTTCATTCGATTGAGCTCAGGAAGCTCTTGGCTTGAGAAAAGAAGCTGCTGGAGAAACATGCTTTGGAATGCTGAAGCAGAAGAGCTAAAACGGGTCTATCCAAACTCCACTAGGGAGACACTTGGTAGATGTCTCCAGTGGGTGTCTCCATCCAGATGCTTCAGCTGAAAGCTTCCATGATCTGCCTGCCTGCACTACCAGCACTTTGTGCTTTACAGAGCCAGGCCCTGTACGTTAAGAACTCTCTGAGCTGCAGGACTGTCTGAAGATCTCACTGAGTGAAAAGGTGAGCTGACCTAGCAAACTAACAGAGAGGCACTAGGAAGCATTGTGACTAGTCCAGCAGCCCAAACAACTTGCTGCTTGCCTTAACTGGAACCTGACCTCCAGCCTGCCTGGTGCTACCGTTGCGCATTTAACTCTCTAGTTCTCCAAACACCAGTGTGGTTTGTGATTCCAGCCCATCTCCAACCACATCTCCTGCTGCTGGCTCATGTACTTTTTTGACTGGGTAACATCCCAAATGGACTGTGGAACTGCTGTGGACATAGTCTATCTAGACTCCAGCAAGGTCTTTGACAAAGTGCCCCACGCCATTACTAAACTAGCAAAAAGAAGCTAGACAGAGCAAGCCATTAAGGGGATCCACAATTGACTGCAAAATTGGACGCAAAAAGAGTGATCATAGGTGGCACATTCTCAAACCGTGGAACGATGACAAGTGGGGTGCCACAGGGTTCTGTCCCGGGACCGGTACTCTTCAACATTTTTATTCATGATTTAGATGAGAAAGTGCACGGAAAGATAATTAAATGTGCAGATGACACAAAGCTGGGTGGAACAGCAAATATTCTGGAAGTCACAGATAATAAGCTTGAATGCTGGGCAGAGAACAACATAATGAAATTCAATAGGGACAATGTGAAGTCCTCCACTTAGGAACAAGAAACCAAATGCATTGCTACAATATGAGGAATAATTAGCTCAACAATACTTCAAATGAGAAGGATTTTGGGGTTGTTGTAGATCACGAGCTATATATGAGCCAACAATGTGCAAAGGGGGCAAATATTATTTTGGGCTGCATTAAGAGAAGTATTTCTTCCAAAACAAGTGATGTACTAGTTTCCATGTACTCAGCACTAGTCAGATCTCACCTAGAGTACCGTGTCCAGTTCTGGGCACCTAGGTTTAAAGATTCAGAAAAGCTAGAAACTGTACCCTAGATATGTTCAGCCTCAGGAAGAGAAGACTGAGGGGGATATGATAGCAAGAGAAAGAACATGATCTCTTCTCATTCATTCCAGAGTGGAGCATATGGAATAATTGACTTAAGCTAAAAGAAACCAGATTTAGACTAGACACCAGGAAAAATTTCCTCACTGTCAGCAGTATGACAGTGGAACCTATTACCTGGGGAAGTTGTGGGCTC